AGGAAACTGTTCTCGAAGTTGGTTCATATGATGAATGATGTTGCGGACGGGATGTGACGGGTCTCTGTGGTCATAGCTAACTGTATCGTCCTGACAACCATGACGCGATGCATTCAGCGGCATTTTGAAGAATTGTGTGGAGTCGAGACTGTAGCATCCGTGAGTTTGCCAGGCAGTCGCTGAGGACATTGCTTGTCGACCAAAGATGTAATTTGACGCTGTGTTGTCCAGAATATAGAACGCCTGCTCCTCGCCCCATAGCAGGAGAGGAGCGCCAGGCATGTGGATTGTGGTTATGAAATGACCCAGCAACTGGCGATGGATACCATTGGTGATAGAGGGCCATCGAAAGACATCCTGATTCGTAACTCCGTACATGTGCCTGGGGTCGACCTTCCCAGTATTAGGATTGACAAAGTCATTAGTCAGTAGAAAGGTGTTCCACATGTCCACAAAGTTACGGGGCGCGTCGTAACCAGCTTCCAGGTTACCATCCATACCCAAGAAGCGAGTCAGAGTGCGGTAGACTGTGTAGTGGAAGGCGGCAGCATCGAGCGCACCATGTTCGGGGTCTCTGAGGAAATATTTGTCTGCCGAAGTGTTGGTCATTGTGGCAGCCATGGTCAGATTTTCGGGAATCATGTCAGGTTGTCTCCCACGGCCCAAGAAGATCGACCCGAAGACATTCCCACCAGTGATCTCACCGGGGGTGAAGAAGTTGTCTTTGCCAAATCGACGAGCACACCGGCGCATTGCATCGTTCATGTAGCCCATGGCATCAACCGTGGACTGCGTGGCCTTGTCATACCGATATCCGTCAATGTCAAGCTGCGCGATCATCATACAATAAAAGTTCTCGATCTTCAGCCGAACGGGTTCGTGCCATTCACGCAGACGATCTTGAACGGAAGCGAATTTTGACAGTTCACGACGCCAATCTGGAAAGACGCCAAAGGCCTCTGTGTCGCCATACTGGTCAAATTCACTGTCGTAGCAGCCAATCATTTGGCTCGTCACATCTTCGCCAACAGGAAACCCCGTCTCCAGCCAGAATTTTGGGTACTGACATGTCTTGTTATAATTATTCCCGATGTGGAAGTCATGATACTGGCGGTCCGACTTCCACTGTACCTGATGCTCCGACAGCGTAAAGGGGGTCGTAGTATTGAGGTAACCGTCGAATCCGATCAGGTCACCTAGGGTAGCGAATGTATTGTCCAGGATGACGTACATACCGCGAGCGTGTATCTCTTGTATAGCGGCTCGCCACATGTCGATGGTACCGAAATGTTGGTCCAAGACCGACAGATCGAGCGGCGAGTATTGATCGTACCCCCATGGACTGTTGATGAAGGGAGAGCCAGCAATGTACAATCCCTGCGCTGGTTAGCAGGGTACATTGATGGTGATACTGCAGTCATACCTTGACACCCATGCCATGGAGATAGTCCAGTGTATCAACAAGGCCCTGGAGATCGCCTCCATGGCGCATCTGATTAGAATTTGGGTCGTGCTCATATGCTGTTCCATTGATATTATCGTTGCTAGGGTCACCATTGACGAATCGGTCGAGAAACAGGGTATAGAAAGGGAACCGCCAGTTCGACGGCGAAGGGTGGTATTGATGGTCTTTCCATTCTCCCCAGTAATCTAACGGATTCTCTGCCGTTTGATTCTGGTTGAGGTTATACTGAAGGAAAGCTGCATCATATCTGAGTGCCCTGCAGCTCGACAAAAACAGAAAAGTGGCCCAAGAGAGAGTATTAAAAAACATGCTGTAGCGATGAAACAAAACGAAAGACAGAAAAGTTGGAACAACGGTACCCGTGAAAGCGAGTGTGGCAACCGTAATAGTAGCGAGTGACTGGAAGACGTCAAGCCATAGAGAATGGAGAGAGGGTATAAGGGAAAGTCATATCAAAGGGAGAGCGAGAGCGAACGAGGACGGGGAAGAAGCATCGAGAATTTCCTTCTCGCAGCTCAGCCTACCACACACCCTTGTCCTCGATCATGTTCGAACGCGATAAGGAAATGATGAGAACGAGCTCAGGCCCAGTCCCCATGACTGTGGACTGCGAAAGTTCGATCGAAAATAACAAGATGACCCGGCGTAGCCCTCGTCACACAACCCAGCAGGTGGGGAGACTTATGAGACATGGTAAGCATTGCGATGGAAGTTCTGCTGCCAACCATGCACGAGCCTCATGTGTCGTGGCAAACCCTGAGCGGGTTTTGTGACGGGAGGAACCTGAAGGATCCAGGAACAGGCTGCAATGACCCACGCTGAGAATCCCACATACTGGAAACTCTTGTTGGGATTGGAACTCATGAAAGTTGAAGGATAGCTCATGCCAAAACAGCTGATGGCTGGCCATCCCTGTCCAGACCATAAACAGAAATGGCCATGAGCTGACAATCCTGGTCTGCCCAAATCACGGTATTATGAGACAGCCAGATAGTCATGGAATGAAAAAATGGCCGTGTGGCCATGCCATGGTGTGGTTGAGCGATAAGTGCTGAGTCTAGAGGGTGGACGCCAAAGTGATCCATAAGGCTGGAGACGGAGGGGGTGGACGGCAGGATAACCCACGAATTTTTCGAACAGGGGAGCAATTGTTGGCGTGCCAGACAGAACAGCAGGGGACATTGCCCGGGCTATACTGTTCTCTTCGTCTTGAAGACTATAGTCCAATCATTCTTACGGGGGGTATAAGTTGACGAGCAGTTTTGGCGTTGCAAAAGCGATGTATCGAGCAAGGGCCTCCCCTGTAACATGGCGTTGTGCCTTCGTCATATCAGCGGCAGAACCGGACACCATGTGAATGGGATTTTGCTCGCTACCTGCACGTTTGTCATCATTGTACCCACTGGGCAAATGCTCGTATTACTGTACTTCCCACGCTTGAGAGCCTCCTCCACGGTGTTTTTGATTGAGCTTACCGTAGGACGATTCCAGAGATTGAGATATAAAAGACTCGCGACTTTAGCGAGGGCGGTTTCCTTGCTACTATCCTTGTACCGATGCTGGTGGTGTGCGGGTGCATGTGATGCGAGCAGTGCCTCGGAATACGCGATCACAAGAACAACACGCTACCCATTATTCGTGTCTCGAGTATGTGTTCACACTGCGTACTCAAGCAGGGTTCAGGCCAGCACAGAGGAGTTGCCGAGAGCGCCTAATAGATTGTTGGGCCTCTGAACGTTGCATAATAGTGCAGAGCTGAGAAACGAACCGTTGAAGGGAAAAATTTTGGGAAAACTGGAAATTTGGAACGATGGAGCAAGTTGGTTGGAGGTTGAAAGAAACTGTGGCTTCTGACCCAATTATCACGTGGTCCCCACCCTTGAATAGCGGCTGCGCGGTGCCTCCTTTTTCTACCCACTCGCCTTCTCTTTTTTCCGGCTTGGCGTTTGGCTGCGCTCCGCCACCCGCCCCGGCATGGCTCTTCCGTGCAGTACTTTGTGCCTGGTAGCGAGTACGAGGAATATCTTGTCATCCGGTCCCATTTAATCTGCAACCCTTGTCCTCCCAGTGCCGCCTCTCCTTTCCGGCAAGACAACAATGGAATAATGCCATTTATGCTTGATGGTCACCTCAGAGCGACTCCTTTCACCCCATCAACGCCACTTACACAGCATCTACGATTAGATTCGGTGTATCGGTCACGCCGGGCTTCTGATATAGCCAGACGCCCTCTCTGTCAAAATACAAGCACAAGTAAAACTCCATCGACACTTCCCTTTGTGCCATTATCGTCCAGCAGGAATCTGGTCCACTACAAGGAAAAGGAGGTTCTCAGTTGAGGCCCAACGGCAGATACCCGCGGGCGCGCTAATCGTCAGCATGGTATACCATTGCCTTTTACGAGTCCAAGGGTTGACAGCCCCCGCTACTCGTGCACAAGCGAAACTGTACGAGGCTACATTCCCATATCCGACTGCTGAGCTCCTTTTACTCAGATGAGGCTCAGTGGTGAGTCGTATATGCTCAACCTGTTTCCAGGTGTCGCAAGATAAGAATAGCACCTCGTGGATGGCTTCCCCTGCATGAACTTCTACCTCAGTGGACATGTTTCGGGTAAATTATGGAGCCTTCTTGTGCATTGTGTCAAACCACACCAACAACATGGAGCGAATGGTCGTCTCTGCCACAACTGAAGCCTTTAGAATATCGCTTGCGACGTATCATCCCACTGTGTTGCATCTGCAACATGCAGACTTTGCGCATCCCACATGTCAGGAGGCGGATCGACTGCACTGAGCATGAACCGGTTGCACAATGGTCCACCAGGCAATTGTCCATCCGCGACAGGGTCAGACCCAAAACTGCAACGCTCACAGTCTTCACTGCCTATCACCAAGCAAATCCTCCTGGATTTAGTCCTGGAAGATGTCATCCTTCTTTTGATCCTCTGACAAGTACACAAAGGAAGACTTTGGCATTACCTGTTTGGGCTGGTGGATCGCTATGGGGGGTGTTTCTGGGTGGCCACAATTCCCTTGTCTACTTGCCCAAGTATTTTAACTTTCGAGCGTGATAAGCACGGGTACAACAGCGAGCCGCCTGAAGCTTGGTACGCAGGCAGCGGATTGAGTTGTATATAAGTACTAAAATGCCCTGTCAATCCTGCGATTTGGCTGAAAAGTAGCGCCGTCCTCGCACTGCAGGCATTTCATAGCGCGCACACAAGCCACCCATATATGTAGGTACCAAACAGTGGCCGTGAGGTGTCTGACACCACGAACCGCCACATCATGTCATTCAACAACCATTTTTAATTACAAGCGAGCAAGTTAAGCGTCTCGCTCGAGCTTACTACTTGCAGATATTAGGTAACGTGGCGCCGCGATAAGGGCGGCGCTGGCACATAGTAACCCCGCCCCACACGTTGCAAAATGCGACTCTCAATGTCCAATGCCCTTCCCTTCCAACCAGCCCATGCACTTGGAAGGAGAGGCGATGACCATTGTTGAGAATGCGGGTGCCTTGCTTGGGCCTCATGTCGAGGTCCCTGGGTCGCCCTGTTCTCTCCTCCTCCCCGCAATCATGTTTCCAGAACCTGTGGCGCCGACCGTTGAATCCCCCAAGACGTTCGTTCCAGAGCGATAGCAGCAATGAAAAGACTCCGGACTTTGCGTTCGCCTTCGAGTACGATGAAAGCACGCGCGCCCCATGTTGTGGCTCCCATTCTGATCATGTCTTGAAATCATAGTATCGATGGTGTCCTCGTCCGGAGCTCCAAGCCAATCCCCCATGCCTCGTCAACGCTTCGATTCCTCCAGCGCAATCGGATTCCTTTCATGCTCCTCACCAACGGCGGCGGCAAGCATGAGTCAGAACGAGTCAAAGATCTCTCCTCGACCCTTTCCGTACCCCTCGATACCTCCAACTTTGTCCAGTCGCACACGCCCTTCGCCGAGCTGATCCATGGAGAAGACAGCCTGCGACACAAATGCATCATGGTGGTCGGAGGCGAGTATGGGCGCTGCAGGGACGTGGCTGAACAGTACGGCTTTACCAACGTTGTGACGCCCGGGGATATATACATGGCGCACCCGGAGATCTGGCCGTTCAGCAAGCCCTTTCAACGCGACTACTACGCCTCGTTTGCGCGCCCGCTGCCCAAACCCATCAACCCGACATCGCCAGCGGACAGTCTGACAATCGATGCCGTCTTCGTCTACAACGACCCGCGCGACTGGGGCCTGGACATGCAAGTCATCCTCGACGTGATGCTGTCGCGCGAGGGCGTCCTGGGGACGTTTTCGTCCAAGAACGGCGACCTCTCGCTCCCGAACAGCGGCTTTCTCCAGGACGGCCAGCCGACGCTGTACTTTTCAAACCCGGACCTGCTCTGGGCGGCCGACTACCACCTGTCGCGGCTAGGCCAGGGCGGCTTCCGCGAGGCGCTCGAGGGCCTGTGGCGCGCCGTCACGTACAACAAGAACCACCACAAAGCGCCCAAGCTGTACAAGCGCGTCATCGGCAAGCCGCACAAGACGACGTACTCGTTCGCCGAGAAGCAGCTGCTCCGGTACCGCGAGTCGCTCGTGGGCAAACACCACCCGACCAAACTGAAGCGCGTCTACATGGTCGGGGACAACCCCGAGAGCGACATCCGAGGCGCCAACACCTACGAGTCCGCGCACGGGATCAACTGGGTCAGCCTGTTGACGCGGACGGGCGTGTATAAAGACCAAGACGGCCGTCGGCCCACGTGGGAGCCCGCCGCTATCGTGGACGATGTTAGAGCCGCCGTACAGTGGGCGTTGAAGGATAGTAATTGGCACCAGCCCTTGGAATAGAACAGAAAGGGACGTATAGACCACCATTAGAATTCTCGGGTGGGTATGGGGCCGATATCTCATTTTTAGTCGGGCAAGACAAGACTATTTTTAACAACACGTCCTACACTGATAAAAATCCCTGCTCTCTTGAGGCGATCACATAGACCCTAGACGAAATCAAAGGTATCGCCTCCTTGGTCATTGATCAATCTCCCCACCCTCTCCGTGCCAACAATCCTTTCCAGCTTTAACACATCCCATTTTGAGAACAGTGCCCGGACGACTCCCTTGACACCGCCCTTGGGAGCGTGTGGCGCTCTGTCCGTGTCCGTCCCAAGTCCCAGGAGCGCGATGATCTCGGCCCAAAAGATGGGATTCTCGGGCACGCCGTACCACAAGATCTTCCGGACACCTTTGATCCGGTACCGGAAATGATGGTGCGCTCGCTCCGAGTACAGAAGCACGGCATGCCGGCCGGAGAGGAAGTGTGAACGCGCGCGCATCACCTCCTTCACAGGCGTGTACTCCGAGATACTCCCGAACGAGAGCGCGGTAGCGTCTGAGGACGTCGAGAGATAATTCCGCACACGCGCAAAGTCGGCGTATGTGGGGATGAAGAGCAGGATTCCCTGCTGGTGTCGTGCGTCGCGCACGAGCGGCGCAAGGATCGTGGTGGTGAAGAATTTGAAGCGGGCATCGGAGTCGGACAAGGGGTTTGGCGAGGGGACGCGCAGGAAGGTCTGAGGTATGCTCGAGGTGAATGGGAGGGCTAAGGAGGAGACTGAGAGCATTGCCCCGGGATATGTCGGCACCAGTTTCACTCGCCCAGCGACGTTGTGTAAGTGCGTCGAGACCAAGGCGTTAATTTCAGGGGTCAGGTAGTCAGACAGTATAATCGTTTGGCGCAGATATTTAGCTTGTCCGTCGAGATACCAGTGGCGGACGCGAGAGAAGTCGCAGCCATGGGAGTCCTTGGGGAGAAGGTTGAGTTGAGAGAAGACATAGTCCACATGTTGCCAGTTCTGCATTTGTAAGGCGTTCGTGTGGTCCATGATGACGAGCTCAATGGACGAGAGAAAGTCGGCGTCGTGTGATTTCTTCTTGTCCTTGCCGCCCCCTGTGGTAATCGTGCGCATCAACCCAAGAGGGGAGCCAAAGATGATGTCCGAGTTGTAGAAGCCAGAAAAATACTTGATGGTCTTCCTGGTGAATTTCAACCCGACCCGGAAGTCTTCTTCGTGATTGCCGCCAAAAAGTGCTCGAAAGTCTTCTGGTTTGTCCTGCCATTCAGCCTCATCTTGATGAGAATATGTCTCCAGAAAACGGGACTTGTTTTCTTGCTGATCAGGTTCGCTGAGTTTGACAATGCTTTCGACGAAACGCACACATGCTTGCTTCGTGGGCACAATGATAAGGACTTTGGGTCGAGTGAACCCTTGATCACGGAGGTCTAGTGCCTCAGTATTGGACGCCGAACTCAACTTTGCATTGTTTTTCAGTACCCGATCCCTCGTCTTGAAGATGTGGTTGAGAGCGTGCAGGCAAGATACGTCGCGCAAACGGCTTGAATTCTGAATGCTTCGGCACCCATTGATGATGTCAACATAGTTGAACACGCATGCGGCGACGTTCTTCTCCTCCGAAGACAAACTAGACATAACTTTGTCTCCATTGTCGACCAGCCGACGCTTTAGATAAGCGTCTTTTGTCGATTTCAGCCCATTGACATTGGCTGGATACTGCGTCGTGAAGAGTACCGTGCTGCGAACACCGGAGTCCGATCTAGAGGAGGAGGTATCCCACTGCTTTTGATCCACCTGTTTAATTGCAGCTTTGAAATCTTGTTCCGAGACAGTCGTGTAATGTTTCTCGAATGGATCTCGCAGGAGGGTCTCCTCATCTTCCGAATCAGCGTCTGCTACGTCGGCTTCCAGGTGCTCTTCATCTGTTTGTGCCCCCTCTAGAAGCTCTGGAGGTTGTTCGTCCTCATTTGCCTGGGAGCTTTGGTTTTGAAGCGGCTCTCCATCTGAGACAGTGCTTTTCGCTGAGTGTTCTCCATTCTCCTGACTACGCGAAAGCCTTCTCTTTTTCCTCGGAGATTCAGACTTGTCTTTTCGTGCGCTGAGAGATTGTAATAGCAGAGCGTAGGAGTTTGGGGCGAGTGTCTCGTCTTCGCTGTCAGTCGGAGGCTGGTGGTTGTCTCCTTCAGACTCGTCTTCTTCGGAGGCAGCTTCCACGCTTCTGGGCTCATCTTGCGAAGCATCATCTCTAATAGTATTAGCAGAGCACGACTCAACAAAAGGATAGTTTGAAGTCACCCACTCTGTCTCTTTTAACCGCGAACTCTGGAAGAAATCTTGCTTCTCAACCATAGAGGCCTTTTTCCCAGCACGCCCTTTCACAGGAGGCCTGCCTCCCCTACGAGGTCGGTAGCCAGGCATTATTGGCTTCTCAAAATTTACCAAGGCGCAGACAATGCGGGGAAAAACTTCCTGGGATCAAAACTTTTTGAGATGGGCGCGTCTCCGTCCCTCCAATCACGGAACTTTTCGTCGCCGCTTTACTTGCCAGTGCAGAGTTTGACACGTGATTCTTCAAGATGTTTCGTCGTCTGCTTCCTCGACTTCTTTCCTTCGTTGCTCAACAAGTTCTGGCTTGAACAGCCAGAATAGCCCGTTTTTGACGTCCCGAACCACTCAACTGCAGAGTGAGCGACAGCATGATGACCAGCACGGTGGACTGTTTGCCTCCCTCCAGATGATGTATCCCTTGCTTTTTTTCAATTACGCCACTTGCGTCTCAATCCTTGGCCTCCTTCTCCCAAGGTGAAATTGGTGCTCAGGCTGAATCACATCCAGCCCGTGTCAGGGTCGCGTTCAGCCATTCGGACCGCCTGGCTACTGCCCCTAGCAAAAGGGAAGCCAAGATATTTGAAAGGCTGTACTGAGACCTGTGGGAACCCAGCCTGACTTCTTCAATACCTACACCTCCATGGCTTACCGCTCAGGCAAGAAACAAGCCACCCTCCCACTAACGGTGCCGTTGATGAACGCCATGTCACGTACTCGGGGCCCCAGGGCACCTCCATGTGGCTTCAACTGTCATTCGACATGCAGAAGAGCAATCCAACCCCTTGCACTCGGGGACTCGTCAGCCAGCCAGGTTCCCGGCTATGTAAGACTTGTCTTAACTAATGAAAGCTCACTTTAGATTTGGTGCAGGACAATTGGCTAGCATCACAACCCCCCAAAGTTCCATCTGAAGACGATCCCCACAGGAACCTTGTAGAGGTCAACCTGCCGTCGAGGCGGTGACGCACCAGACCTGCTGTGGCTCAATTAAGCGACAATAAGGGTCAGCAAGGCAAAATTTCGTCCTGTTCAAGAATCGTCTGCCCTCAGCCTGATGGAATACTTTATTGATGCTGATCGCAGCCTTTGAGAGAGATCGACCCTTCGCTTTGATCTCGTTGTCCCTCCATTCCTTTTCCGTCTCCTCTTTTACCACCAATTCAAGATGGGCGACCCTGCTGATTCTCCAGTGTACAGAGTAGGCTACCGCGCTCACGAATACAAAGATGCAGGCCTACCATACGAGAAATCTCCAACGCGGTCTCCAGATCCAGCCCAGAAGGAAAGTGAGGCGAAAAGTCGTCAGGCAGATGCAGTTCCCGCCGACCTGAGCAATCCGGATCTGCCAATCTATAAGAGATATATCGCCCCTGCCCGTCAAATCGTGAACGAATATGACGCTCTGTTCCCGGACCTAGAGCGTGGTCCAGACCAACTAGGCGACCAACCAAGCGTTCCCACAACCGTAGGAGATCAGCCCGATGATCAAAGCGTTGAGTGTCATCATATCATGGATAGCTGGGGAGAGCGTGGAACTGGGGACAGCCATCAATTCTATTTCAATTCAGCAAAGCATAAAACTGCGGCTGGGAACCCGATTGCCGATGGGACTGTCGAATGGGTGTAAGTTCTTCGAACTCCAGGATTTCTTACAAACTGACACAACTAATGTCAGACATTTGGGTTTTCGATCCCCAACACCTAGCCGGATCCAGGTAAGACGCTCGTCTGGCTCTCCCTGGTCTCTCTAATTCTAGGACTAGTCCGTGGTCGACAAATACGCTCGCTCAGGACTGGAAGATGGAATCGACAGATTGGCTGATGGCCTTCTGAGACGAATGTTTAGCAACGAGGAGAAAACCTTTGTCGGAGGGTACTATTTGCAACCTGGCGTCATACGATATGATGGAGAGACACCGTTACAAGACGTGCCCGACAGACCTTGTACATTTGTCAATTTCCCCTATCTATGTCTTGAGTGGCCTAGGGAACTGGAGGCGCTGCCAGAGGAACCTGACCCCGGGAACAGGAAGTTTCCGGTGCGCTCATTGCTGCAGTCGCGCTATCGTTTACAACTTACCCGCGAGAAGGATCAGAAGCAGTCCATCTCCGCCTTGACCAATAGACAGGTCAATGCCTGCATACAGCCCGCTTTTGCCCAACTGAACTCCGGCACTGCCATGGAGAAATGTACCAAGATTGTACATACCCATCAACTCTGGTGCTTGTCTCTTAGTGGAGGCAAGTGATGATGATTCCAGTGATGACTGTCACAGACTGACTGGCTCCAGACACCGTTGTTACGTGCGCCCCTATAAAAGGAGCAGCGCTTCAAGGACAGGTCATCTCAGTGAACGAGATCAACCAGGACGACCCCACTGTACAAGTAGTGCTTGATCATAAGGGACGATTGAAGCGTTACAGATATCAACGCAATCACTGCGATTCTTGGTTTGTATGTTTTCCCACGCCAAAGGATCGTATTCATAAACTGATTTGTTCACAGCGCTTGTTGAATAAGCACAGACAAATCTTACTCTCGAGGGGACTTTTCGGAGACAAAGGTGTACAGAATGGACAATTCGACCTGTTCTTTCAAGGCGAGAGGAATCAAGAGACGGAACTTACTTGGTTAAACTGGTTGGAAGTTCTCCAGAAGCACAATAC